GATGACCTTCAGTGACCCCAATGCGTTTCCATATTTCCGGTTTTCTCAAGCCCGGCGCTGATTGGTTGGCACACGCGCAGACTGCCAGGGGACAGCTGCATTTGACGGCAGACAGACTAGACCGGCCGTGACCGATGACTTGCAAACTGGCAATACGTTTCTGTTGTCCCAACAGTAACTTATATAGCCTTGTGTTGTATACAGCCTGACTGTCAGGAACATCTCTTATTAGTTGAGTTGAGTCAAGAATTAACATCACAGCATTCGGGGCATTCCCATGCGTGCTCCGTCCCCATGTTCAGCAGCCAGCACAGAGTTCTGCTACTGATGGTACCGGTAACAATATGGTTATTTGTCCGTCTTGCCTTTCCTCTGAGTGTAGTGAACCGGCCAGACCCTCTGCTTACACGCAGGTGCTTCATTCTCTCCAGGCCATAATAATCTTGTTTCTCTACTGATTCCGTTGCTTGTTCCCAAAGGGCATTGACCACATCTGCCTTGTCATGTATCAATTCATCTCTTATTAACTCTTGCTAACCTATATTGCTTTTAGTGCATACCCTTGGACAGTGTCTCCCAAACCTTTCTTGGTCGCGGCGCCTTCTTTCAATTAACAATTTTTCCACTGCGTCCTATCCTAAGTAAAAGTATTGCTATCTGTGTCTTGGTGAAATTAATTATGAAGCTTTAACAATATTTCGCGGCGCACAGTTTGGGAATCACTGCCCTAGGAGTTTACTTTGTTGTACTAAATAGTTTTGTTCAAATGCGTGGAGCTGTGGGGGGGGGGGGGGGGGGGCCGTAGGTGGAGAAAAAAAAAGGAGGCAGTGATGTCCAAAATGATTCCAAAACATGATATGACTATCAGATCAACAGACAAAAGTACTGTTGCGACTTTCACTGTCAAGATGATCGCTTAGAACTCTTGGTGAAACAGGTTTCTGCTGGCTTGCCAGCCCACCTTTGGCATTTTCCTTGTATACTGATATGCAGCAGTGCTAATTGAATTGGCGTCCCGTGGGCCAAATCTAGCTCGCTATGCGGCATGGCAAGCGGCCCGCGGATCAGTACTAGTTGTATTGCATTAATGATCTTTGAATGATCGGTGGTTCTATCGGTGACAGTCCCCATTTTGAAATGTTTAATCCCGAGTACGATACGTTCAATAGCAATGATGTACTGTATGCAGAAGTAAGTAAGTTTAAAAACAAAAAGTGAACGATCTTCTTCCACGCCTTTAGGAGCATTGGGTATGTAGGGCTAGACCTATATTTTATAGACACGTGGTTGGTAATGAGGTCAACATCACGCCGGTCGCGTTTTCTTCCCATGACTGCACCTGGTACCAATTTGAGGCTGGGTCGACCTGGGAGCCAAAGTCACATTTGAAGTCCAGCTCTCACCTGACAGGCCTCCCAGGGCCAGATCTACAATGCTGGGACTAGGCGGAGTGCTGCAATGTCAGTTCTGAAATAAATCAACTAAACAACTACAACACAACTAGAACAACAGTCTCGGCTGGATAACACAACTAGAACAACAGTCTCGGCTGGATAACACAACTAGAACAACAGTCTCGGCTGGATAACACAACTAGAACAACAGTCTCGGCTGGATCTTCACCATTGCTATCCTTATTTCTGTCTTTCAGTAGCAGCTCTTTCCATATTTTGGGTGGTGAACTGAAACACGACAAGGCAGATGTTGTCAAGGCCCTTTGGGAACAAGTAAGAACGTGAGAAGATAAACTGGATTATTATGGCCTGGAGACAATGAGGAACCTGGGTGTGACCAGGCGGTCTGGCCAGCTCACTACACTCAGAGGAATGGCTAGTTTTTAAAAGGAGTAGAAAATTATAGGGTAGAGAAAAAGTTGGTGAGAAACAACAAAAAGTTTATGTTAGCTTTACAAAATCGATCACAATAAACAAACAAAGGACGTTGCTGCGACTAGCCTTCATCATCACATAAAGGACAACACAGTATACATACACAAATATGCTCTGGAATGGTTAGCAGGACGAAAAAAAAAAAAACAACCAGACTTTAACCGGTACTATTAGTATAGGAACTATGCACGGGCTACTGAAGATGAGGACAGAGCGCATATGGGAATGCCTAGTTTTGTGATGTTAATTCTTGACTTAACTCAACTCAACACTTAATGTTTTGCTGTATAAATATACACAAGACGCTTTTAAACAGCTACAGGCTAGACAGTTTCCTTGACTACGATTTCCCGCCTCTCTGGTTTCCAAATACGTTTCAACTACTCGACACCAAAGTGGCGTCTCGAAATATAGATACATACAAGCAAGACAGACGGAAGGGAAACAACCAAGAAGAAGGGACACATTTACACAAATTAAATGTTTTCCCAGGGCGGCCTGTGCCGTCTGGAGTTGCATAAACAGTCGGTTATTATGTACCTGGCAAGTGGGAAATATCCGACCAGGCCTGGTGGAGTTATCTCTCCGGGCGGTCGCCTCGTCTCTACGTTACTGTTTGGAGTCATTTGGGTCTGAGGGTTCGTCTGCCATCTTTGAAGTTGTGTCTACGTCAAACTAGTTGTTTACATTATTGTCTGTGTCTGTCTGTCAGTGTGCCTCCGTCAGTCTGTCGTTCTCTCTGACTCCTTTTCTTTAGCCATCTCTATTTTCTCCTATCTATCTATCTATCTATCTATCTATCTATCTATCTATCTATCTATCTATCTATCTATCTATCTATCTATCTATCTATCTATCTATCTATCTATCTATCTATCATCTATCTATCTATCTATCTATCTATCTATCTATCTATCTATCTATCTATCTATCTATCTATCTATCTATCTATCTATCTATCTATCTATCTATCTATCTATCTATCTATCTATCTATCTATCTATCTATCTATCTATCTATCTATCTATCTATCTAATCTATCTATCTATCTATCTATCTATCTATCTATCTTCTATCTATCTATCTATCTATCTATCTATCTATCTATTATCTATCTATCTATCTATCTGTCTAGCTGGTCTAGCTGTCTAGCTGTCTAGCTGTCTAGCTGTCTAGCTGTCTATCTATCTAGCTGTCTATCTATCTATCTATCTATCTATCTATCTATCTATCTATCTATCTATCTATCTATCTATCTATCTATCTATCTATCTATCTATCTATCTATCTATCTATCTATCTATCTATCTATCTATCTATCTATCTATCTATCTATCTATCTATCTATCTATCTACCTATCTATCTATCTATCTATCTATCTATCTATCTATCTATCTATCTATCTATCTATCTATCTATCTATCTATCGATCTATCTATCTATCTATCTATCTAGCTCTATCTATCTATCTATCTATCTATCTATCTATCTATCTATCTATCTATCTATCTATCTATCTATCTATCTATCTATCTATCTATCTATCTATCTATCTATCTATCTATCTATCTATCTACTCTATCTATCTATCTATCTATCTATCTATCTATCTATCTATCTATCTATCTATCTATCTATCTATCTATCTATCTATACTATCTATCTATCTATCTATATATCTATCTATCTATCTATCTATCTATCTATCTATCTGTCTATCTATCTGTCTGTCTGTCTGTCTGTCTGTCTGTCTGTCTGTCTGTCTGTCTGTACTGTCTGTCTGTCTGTCTGTCTGTCTGTCTGTCTGTCTGTCTGTCTGTCTGTCTGTCTGTCTGTCTGTCTGTCTGTCTGTCTCTCTGTCTGTCTGTCTCTCTGTCTGTCTGTCTGCTTGCCTGTCTGTCTGCCTGCCTGTCTATCTGTCTGTCTGTCTGTCTGTCTGTAAGTCTGTCTGTAAGTCTGTCTGTCTGTCTGTCTTCACCCCTCTCACTCTTTCTCCTCCATCCCTCCCTCTGCGCCATTGAAAATTTTATTGCAAATATGAATGTTGGTCAGTATATCTTCAAGCGAATATCTTGTTGTTGGCACATTTCCATCTATGCAGACAGTAGAGCTATGTTGTGTATTGTGTCTATATTACTGCCTATATTTATTTCTGCCCGTTCATAATCTACGAATATATTCTCTGTCTTCCCCCCCCCCACCCCCTCCCCTCCTTCCCCCATCAACTCCCGTGTCGTTGTTCGTTTAATTAAATCTGTCTGTATCCTTTTACTCTGTATTCTGCTATTGGTTAATCGGGCCACGGTGTGAAATATTTCTACGTTCGCAATGTAAAGAGCTAGGCTGTTATTTGTGCCACTGGACCTAATACATTCTGTGTCTGCCAATGAATAATTAGTGGCCTTTACGACATGCTTGTTACGCAACAGCGAATGAGAAAACTCGAGGAATTCAATTGTTTGTACTGCCTGAACAGTGCAGAGACAAGGTGTATAGAACTTAATAAGTTTTCTACCAATCACCGTTTACTTGACATTACCTGTCACTCATACGCCACATTACCTTTCTCTCATACACTTCATTACACTCACACACCATGTCACACTCACACACTACATTACCCTCACACACCGCAGTACCTATCACTCATTCAGCACGTTACTTATCACTCACACACCACAATACCTATCACTCATACAGCACGTTACATATCACTCACACACCAAATTACCTGTCACTTATACACCAAAATACCTGTCACTTATACACCACTTTACCTATCACTTATACACCACATTATCTATCACTTATATACTACATTACCTATCACTCAAACACCCCATTACCTATCACTCACACACCCCATTACCTATCACTTTTATACTACATCACCTATCAGTCAACACACTGCATTACCTATCACTCACACACCCCATTATCTTTCACACACTCACCACATTACATATCACTCATACATTATTATCACTCATACAAAACATCACCTAGCACACAAACCCAATATTACTTTACACCCACATACAACATTAAGTATCACACAAACACCACTTTACCCACAACCCTCCTTTAAACCTGAGACATCTTCCTTTCAGGTGATGGCTTAGACAACAGCGTGGGCTCCGGTGAGGGGACAGCAGACGAGGATGACGACAGAGGCTCCAAAAGAAATAAAAAGCGCGGGATATTTCCGAAAGTCGCCACAAACATCATGAGGGCCTGGTTGTTTCAGCATTTATCGGTAAGTTGGGCAATGATGTGGTCAATGGTCAAGTTTAATTAGTCTACTGTCTTTTTCTTCTGTGTCTTCTTCTTCTTCTTCTTCTTCTTCTTCTTCTTCTTCTTCTTCTTCTTCTTCTTCTTCTTCTTCTTCTTCTTCTTCTTCTTCTTCTTCTTCTTCTTCTTCTTCTTCTTCTTCTTCTTCTTCTTCTTCTTCCGCTGCTCTTATTCTGCTTCTTCTTCTTCTTCTTCTGCTGCTGCTGCTGCTGTTGTTGTTGCTGCTACTGTTGCTGCTGCTGCTCTTGCTGCTACTACTACTACTACTACTACTACTAATACTACTACTACTACTACTACTACTACTACTACTACTACTACTACTACTACTACTACTACTACTACTACTACTACTACTACTACTACTACTACTACTACTACTACTACTACTACTACTACTACTACTACTACTGTTGCTGCTGCTGCTACTACTACTACTACTAATACTACTACTACTACTGTTTGTGCTGCTACTACTGATAATCTACTGTTTGAAAGATAACAACATTGGATAGGAAAATAGACAAAAATAAATGCAAGTGGGGTGGTACTAGTGGGTGGGGGGGGGGGGGAGATCCTGTGTATTCAAAGGAAAGGGTGTAGGGTGAGAACGAGGGCGCGAAGTAGCAATTACTAAACATCTTGTTTTAGTAGTAGGTCCGTAAATACTACATTCGATTCTCTCGACTTCCACGAATCAAGGCAGACATTTAGGTCCACGTATCTTTCAACATAATTTTATGAATAGTGAGTAGTTTAACATAAACCATAGCAGACAATACAATACATATAGAAGAAGGGGAGGGGCGACCACTGTTAACAGAATGACTATAGGATGACAAGTAAAAGTGAAAGTTTGTTTGTTTCAGTATCCAGAAGCCATGAGTTGTTTACCCTTAGGCTCGATATTATGGATATCGCAACCTTTCGGCCTTGATTCCATGATAAAAACAGTAAATCTGGAAGAAATGTGGCTTTTCTGCTTACCCCCGGGAGTGAACCCGGACCACAAGGAGTTCGTCACCCGGTCACCGCGCAATCCGGTTTAGCCAACTACTCTAGAGAGCCGGGCAAAAGTAAAGTAAAGAGCCCTTTTCACACCTTTTAGTCGTATCGGGTGTATGGGAAGAGAGCCCATATTTTTACAGACCATTCAGCACTACATATGTATAGTGGTGAGCATTAAGCCAGCCGTCTTTACTTCCCCAGGACAGCCATCACGGTTCTCATTTTAGGCTGGGTCGACCTGCGACGTCCCATACCGTGATAAAAATCCACGCAGCCAGAGGTGGGTTTCGATCACGGTACGTTGGAAGTACGAGTCGGACTCGCAACGCATAAGCCCCGGACGCCGCATATTGTGACAAGGAAGGGGAATAAATGAAGAAAGAAAATTCTCGATGACTTTTCCAATCAGTAGCCGAGCTGCATCAAAGTCCAATCACCCGTCATCCAGCAATCCAGCGTTCAGCTATCTAGCCAAGCAGACAGATCCTGACTGACAGTCAGATGCTCGATGAGACCTCCAGGCCCCAGCGTTAAAGCTCCAGAACTAACAGGCTATCGGTATATCGAGCCTGGCTGTGAGCGCCCTTGTCATTCCACCCGGAATTTCTCATTAACCGCCGTGAATCTCTTTAAGACCCGAGTCTTGGCGTGCCTTGCATCCACCCGTGTCCACAGTGTTTGAGAAAAGGCAGAGTTCATCGTGAAGCACTAAAATGGAATATGATGGGCTTTTCCGGACTGATTTTAGTTTTTTTTTCCCCCTTCTTTGCGATAACTTCTATTTTGGGCTGCTTTATATTGTTTATGCAGTAACATATTTACGTTTGTTTTGATCGTTTATAAAGACTTTATTTTTTTTTGTTTATAAAGATTTGTTTTTACCCGTTTATAAAGACTGTGTTTTTCGTGTTTATAAAGACCCTTTTTCAGTCGCTTGTAAAGACTGCATTATTTTTCGTTTATAAAGACTTTGGTTGAAGCGTTTTTTTTTATTGTCTAGTGTGTCTACTTCTTTTCACGTTTAAGTTCCGGGGCAGCATTTAAGAGTGGGTTTAGAATACACCTAAGCCACCACCCCCTCCCCCCCCCCCAACCCTCGTTCCCCCACAAGCATTTCTTAAAAGGCGAAAAATTAGGTTGCGCAGATATCGCAGCCTACCTGTAAACATTTAAACAGCGTGCGAACTGTCATTTTAAGGGCGAACGCAGAGACACAAGAAGTAGTAGAAGATAGCTTCCTTATTAATAGTATCAATATTTTCTGAATGGCAAATAAATTTAACAATGCACTTGAAATATTGTAAATTGTATTACCAAATGCTTATAAGTAAAATTTCATGTACATGGGTTGCCCGGCTCGCTAGCGTAGTTGGCTAAACCGGATTACGCGGTGACGGGGTGACAAACTCCTTGTGGTCGGGGTTCACACCCGGGGCGTAGGCAGAAAAGCCACATTTCTCCCAGATTTACTGTATCTATCATAGAATCAAGGCCGAAGGGTTGCGATATCCATAATATCGAGCCTAAGGGTTAACAACTCTTGGCTTCTGGATACTAAAACAAACAAATGTACATCGTCAAAGGGCGCCTCTTAGTACACCTTTTTGCTATGAGCTTTCTTTTAGTTTCTATAAATTTGTTTATTATATCTACTGCCTCGGGAGTTTCCCCTATCTGTCTAAACCCCAGAAGCCGACGTCACCCAGAAGATGGAGATGTATCTATTGGAGCCGCCAAGGTCTAGCCTAGTTTCGATTCACGCCACCAGTAAATGACAGCTGTAATTTCTATTTCAGTGAAAATCAGGGAAGTTAGCTCAACCCATTCTCCGGAGCCCAGCGCCTGGAGACGCTTTCACTCGCCGAATCTGACCCGTCATAGGAGATGACTGACTTTCGTCTGATTGAGCAAACTCCCACCGCCCTATGCAGATCTCCCTTTTCTCCCCAAAATACGAATTATCACGGGCAGAAACAAAAAAAAAACGTATATGTTCACTGCAACTTTACTTCGGCGAGAGAAAAAAAAAAAAGTTAGTTGTGTATCGTATTACAGGACGTTACAGAAGCAACCTTAGCGTTTTCTGGCTGTTGTGGTTTTTTTTTTGTAGGCAAATGTTACGTTCAGTAGTTTGCCATTGTTTACTGAAAGGTAAGCTCTCGGTACCACTGTCGAAACCAACGCAAGACAAATCGTCCGCAGTTGGGATCGAACTCGGCGCCCCGGCATTACGAAGCGCGTTCGCAACTCCCGAGCTACAGACGCCAATAGAGAAAGGTTACATGAAATAGAATCAGAACGGATCAAGTATGGGCAATCCCGACTCCAGTCAAGTTGAAGACTAAGAAAACATATAGGTTAGTTGTGTATCTTTTACAGGACGTTGCAGAACCAACCCCAACAGTCCCATGCTGTTGTGTGGTTTTCTAGGCAAATTTAGTTCCAGTAGTTTGAAGAAAGTATATAAGCGGCAAATAATACAAATCTGGTTAGCTAAACGCCCCCCCCCCCTCCCTACCCCCCCCCCCTTTCAAGTTGGACTGGGTGGGAGAGTCGGGGGAAGAGTTATGGACGCTAAAACTGGTTAAGTTCGTTGCGTATCCTTTACAGGACGTTGCAGAACCAACCCTAGCATTATTTTTTGCTGTTGTGGTTGGTCTAGGCAAATTTACGTCAAGTAGTTGGCCATTGCCTCATGAACGGTCGGCTTCTCGATGCCACTGTCGAAACCAAAGCATGGCGCAAGGCCCGCCTCGCACGCAATGCTTTAGCTGCAGACTTCGACTAAGACTAGAGACTAGTTACGACGTTCTAATAGTTGCTGATGGATGTTACAGTAAGCTTCGTAGCCATGTTTGTCATCAATTTGAGGCGGATATAGCAACGGTCTCTCACCTTTTATTTTATAACATCTTTCATTGCGGGAAATTTTGTCTGTCTGTCTGTCTGTCTGTCTGTCTGTCTGTCTGTCTGTCTATCTGTCTGTCTGTCTGTCTGTCCGTCCGTCTGTCTGTCTGTTTGTCTGTCTGTCTGTCTGTCTGTCTGTCTGTCTGTCTGTCTGTCTGTCTGTCTGTCTGTCTGTCTGTCTGTCTGTCTGTCTGTCTGTCTGTCTGTCTTTTACTGTCCTACTCCCATGTAACTTACAAATACTTCCTTCCTAGGCTCCAACCCTCCCCCTTCCCATACACACCACACAACACTCTAACTACCGCGACTGCCCGCCGCTTGAAGTGACAAGTCCCGGATATAGTGGATGTCCTTAACCGGCCTGGTTTGAATTCTCCCATCCTTTTAATTTCGCTTAATGACTTCCTCGATATCTTCCTTGTTCCCTATCCTCTCTAGTTATTTAATTAAGATGTGCGGAGACCTGTTCAACTGTCGTTCGAGAGCATATCTGCCCACTTTCCTCCAGTTTCTAGTGCAGTTATTATTTCGTCTACTGCAGCGGTTTTCAGCCTTTTGGATATTCCGAAAAATATTTACACTTTAAGCACCCTTCTGTTTCGCCAACAACACAAGAATGGACAGGGCTACCCATACTAGCATTAGAGTGAGAGAGAGTAGGAAAAAGACCATGTATGGATTATATTGAAAGACGAAGAATGACAAGATTCGGTCATCTACTGAGAATGTAGCCAGACCAAACTGCACATGCGACTTTTAGAACAGAACATCTCAAAGGAAGGCGAAGGGAAGACCGAGGAAGATAAGGATAAATGATACAGCTGAAACTTGCAGAAAGATGAACAAATCCATCACTAAAGCCACATGAGAAGCGTGACAAATACATAAATACCACAACACTTGGCTACAACCTGGTATCAGTGATACCACAAAACCGAGACACTGGGCTACAGCGGAATATCAGTGAGACGACAAAACCAAGACACTAGGCGACAACCTGGTATCAATAAGACCACAAAACAACGACACTAGGCTACAACCTGGTATCAGTGAGACCACAAAACCACGACACTGAGCTACAACCTGGTATCAATGAGTCTACAAAACCACAACACTGGGCTACAACCTGGTATCAATGAGACCACAAAACCACAACACCGGGCTACAACCTGGCATCAATTAGACAACAAAACCACAACACTGGGCTACAACCTGGCATCAACGAGACCACAAAACCACAACACTGGGCTACAACCTGGCATCAATGAGACCACAAAACCAAAACACTGGGCTACACCCTGGTATCAGTGGGACGACAAAACCAAGACACTGGGCTACAACCTGGTATCAGTGAGACCACAAAATCACAACACTGGGCTACAACCTGGTATCAATGAGACCACAAAACCACAACACTGGGCTACAACATTGCATCAAAAGAGACCACAAAACCACAACACTGGGCTACAACCTGGCATCAATAAGACCACAAAACCACAACACTGGGCTACAACCTTGCATCAATGAGACCACAAAACCACAACACTGGGCTACAACCTGGCATCAATGAGACCACAAAACCACAACACTGGGCTACAACCTGGCATCAATTAGACCACAAAACCACAACACTGGGCTACAACCTGATATCAATGAGACCACAAAACCACAACACTGGGCTACAACCTGGCATCAATGCGACCACAAAAGAAGAAAGCACCCCTCCTTCACGCCCGTGACTCACAAGTCATATGGTTAGTTAAGTAAACGACCTTCTTCCACGCCTTCAGGTGTTTAGGGCACATAGGGCTAGACCTATATTTTTTAGACCAATCGGAACTCTTTGGATGATGTTGTCAGCATCCTGTCGGCTGCCTTTACTTCCTAGGACTTTACCTGGTGCCCGCGCAAGGCTGGGTCGACCTGGGAGACAAGTTTATTTTGAAAAAAATTTCGGCTAACAGAGGTCATGACGGTTTTTGTGTGTAAATGATGTGCCGTCTTCACAATGAATGTTAGACTGGTTAGAACTGCAGAAGGAGACAAATGCAACAGAGTTGTTTCAGTTTAAACAAAGTGTGTATGAGGCTTACATGACCAAGGTTACCCCTGGAGCCCTACTGTGACCTGTCATTTCCATGGTTACGAAAAACCTTTTCTGGTTTGTAGTGAATGACAATGTCTGTCACTGGTAGTATAGTATGGAAATAAATTTGCTTGGTTAAATTAAGCTATGGAATACAGACATAATTCGTTTCATACTATTGAAATAACTGTAAATACAGTTTAGTTTAAAGATGTTGTCAGGGTCTCTGGCTTAGACGTTGCGAACGAGCTTCGTAATGCCGGGGTTCTGGGTTCGATTCCAGCCGCTTTGGTTTTGACAGTGGTATTGAGAAGCTGACCGTTCATTAAGCAGTAACAAACTATTGGGCGTAAATTGGCCTAGAAAAACCCCCAACAGCCACTAAATGTTGGGAGTGGCTCTACAATGTCCTGTAAAGGATACGCAACTAACTTGCAGATGTTATATGTTCTTCTTCTTCTTCTTCTTCTTCTTCTTCTTCTTGTTCACCGGCTGTGAATTCCGGCGGTAAGTCGCGGTTGTTCGTCCAAATGGACTTTTGGCTTTTAGCTTGACCTGAGTTTTGCGTGTACATCCGTTTTACTGGCTTATTTGTTTGCAGTTCTCGTTCCCCGCCTCTCCGGCAGATGTACTCCGACTTCGAGGGAAGTTATATGTTCTAAGTTGTGCCTTCTTTCTTCCTGTAGCACCCCTACCCTTCAGAGGAGCAGAAAAAGCAGCTAGCACAGGATACTGGACTAACAATACTTCAAGTCAATAACTGGTGAGTGTATTTACATGTCTGTCTGTCTCAGTCCCTCTAGCTCATAAACTCTCAATATTATCCATATCTCTCTTTGTGTCTGTCTGTATGTAGTCATATCTGCACATAGTATGCTCAGAAAGCATTTGTGGCAGAAGAAGAAGAAGAAGAAAAGAAGAAGAAGAAGAAGAAGAAGAAGAAGAAAAAAAAAAATAAGGGAAGACAGTTGCTAGCTGAAGAAGGAAGAAGAAGAATTTGCTGAAGAAGAAGAAGCACGACCTAGTGTTCGTGTGTTCGACTCTACATTTGGAATTTAGAAAAAAATATTTTTTAATGTTTTGTTTTGTACCTTACATTAAAACTGACCTTAGAATACACGTCGACCTATATAGTGGATACATTAAAATGCTCTGTGAGGTAAATGCGGCCTGCATAATACATCATCCACCGTGTGCCAAATGCTGTAAACTAAAAATTGGTAATTCAATGTTTCGCTTGGTGTGGTTTGAACAACGGATCAACATCATGGCACAAGGGTGGTATCCCATAAGTGCTTCCTTCTACTTCTAACTCAAGCCGAATAATCTCAGCGCAGTGAACGAGCTTTGTAGCACCGGTGAGGATCATGAAATACTTTGGGTAGATTTTAAACTCAAAATTTTTCCTGCGCTGCCGTTAGGCTACTCCTTTCGATTTCCAAATGCCAATGGATTTATTTTTAACGTGCTTAACAATGCACAAGGGCGTCCGATCTTACTACCCAGAGACCAGGGGAGACTACTAAAAATCCACGTGAACAAAATCCCAGCCTTCACCGGGGCCTGAACCCGGGACCTTCAGCACTCCAGGCGAAAGCCATGCACCGAGGCCACTCAGCCTCACCCTTCCCCCCACCCCTTTAAGTAATGTAATGTATTCTGAAGATCGTGATGAGATATATCAAAGAGCAAAGGACCCTTTCACACGCCCTTAGGCTATTGGGCACATAGGGCCAGACCTATATTGTATAGACTAGTCGGAACTCACTAGGTGATGTGGTCAGTATAATTGTAAGATGTGGTTCTGAGATCCCGTGTTCTCATTGTGGAAAACATTTCTCAACACTAGTAGTCCTTGCTAATCTGTCTTGCCCTTGCTAATCTGTCTTGTCCTTGCTAATCTGTCTTGTCCTTGTTAACCTGTCTTGTCGTTGCTAATCTGTCTTGTCCTTGTTAACCCTGTCCGTCCTTGCTGTTAATCTGTCTTGTCCTTGCTAATCTAATCTGTCCTTGTCCTTGCTAATCTGTCTGTGCTAATCTGTCTTGTCATTGCTAATCTGTCTTGTCCTTGCTAATCTGTCTTGTCCTTGCTAATCTGTCTTGCCAATGCTAATCTGTCTTGTCCTTGCTAATCTGTCTTGTCCTTGCTAATCTGTCTTGTCCTTGCTAATCTGTCTTGTCCTTGCTAATCTGTCTTGTCCTTGCTAATCTGTCTTGTCCTTGCTAATCTGTCTTGTCCTTGCTAATCTGTCTTGCCCTTGCTAAACCGTCTTGCCCTTGCTAATCTGTCTTGTCCTTGCTAATCTGTCTTGTCCTTGCTAATCTGTCTTGTCCTTGCTAATCTGTCTTGTCCTTGTTAACCTGTCTTGTCCTTGTTAATCTGTCTTGTCCTTGCTAATCTGTCTTGCCCTTGCTAATCTGTCTTGTCCTTGCTAATCTGTCTTGCCCTTGCTCCCTCTATCAGTTAACATCGCTATTGTCTTCATGGGTGAGGGGCACTGTCTTGTTCTTTTCTCTGGGGTAGGCAGGTGTATTAGGAAACGAACAGACGGAGAGCCTGGCTGGCTCAGCACAACTTGGTGGAATTGGGATGCATGATAAGGCAGACGTGCTTAGGTGTTTTGTTTGAAAACGTTTACAATTCGGAGGAGCAAATGGATCACCACTATCTGGTAAGAGTGATGCAGCAGCGAGTGACCAGAGGGGATCTGGCCGATACTGGAAGCTCAGAGGAAAGGCAGGGCGTACGTATAATCATAATTCAACTGGCACTATTGGTCTTGGAAATCTGTGCTGGCTGCTGAAGATAGGGAAGGAGCGATTGTGGGAATCTGTAACGTCGGTTCTTGAATCAAGTCAACTCGCTATCGTCGGATAAGCCGGAATAATGTCAATAACACACTGCTCAAAGTATTATTTGTTTCCGAATTATTTACCTTCATGACAGAAACCTATGGTTTTGAATCGCTACACATGGTTTCTGTTTACGAACGTTAAACACCCTATTTGATCGAACACCCGACTTTCACGTCAATAGTTAGACTCTCTGTTCCATTCTCGCTCCTAAATTTGCTAATCTCATCGCCTTAAGACTGCCGACATTTAAACTCATTACCCTATTTTTTTTTCTCCACCTCTTTATTTTTTCCTGCTGGCTCTGTCCCCCTCACCACCCCTGTTCTCAACCCCCCCCCCTCTGCCTCCCTCACCGCCTCCCCTCATCTTGCATCCCAGTCCCTGAGTTAGTTGGTTTCTTGCCTCTATTACGTGCACCCCATTAGGGATTTAGATTGACAGTCACATTATCTGCCTTATCCCTCGTCTTGTCAACTCTTGAGTTAATAAGACAGACGTGCGGGTTTACCCCGTTCCTTGTTTCAATCTCAGCTTTAAAAGACACTTTTCGCCGAATCACATCGGCCGCTTTTTCTCTTTTACCCCCCTCACCATGCTCTTGTCTAGTGACCCCCCTCCTTCATCCCCTCCAAGAAAAAAGTATCCCCACCCCTACCCCCTTTTACCCCCTCCCATCTCCCCTTTTACCCCCCTCCCATCTCCCCTTTTACCCCCCTCCCATCTCCTCTTTTACCCCCCTCCACCCTCCCATCTCCTCTTTTATCTCCCTCCCATCTCCCCTTTTACCCCCCTCCAATCTCCCCCTTTACCCCCTCCCATCTCCTCTTTTACCCCCCTCCACCCTCCCATCTCCCCTTTTAACTACCACCCTACCCCATCTCCCCTCCACTTTTACCCCCCTGCACCATCTCCCTTTTGCACGCTCACTTTCTCATTTCTGATCTGTTTTGTTCGCTGCGAGGGGGTCGGGTTCCCATTATGAGTTAACAACAACAACAACAACAACAACAAGGGTCCCTTATCCACGCCTTTTAGGCGTATTGGGAATATAGGGCTGGACCTATATTGTTATGGACCAGTCAGCACTGGGTGGGTGATGTGGTCAGCATCACGCCGGCAGTCTTTACTTCCCATGACGTTCCTCTGGTACCCACTCAAGGCTGGGTCGACTTGGGAGTCAAGGTGATTTCTGGAAGAAATGTCCGGCTCCGTCAAGACTTGAACCCACGACCTTTCGATCCTCAGGCAGGCGTTTAGCCTCCCCCCCCCCCCCCCGCCCCACCCCAATTATGAGGGAACAGTTAATAGATCTACTGCCTCTAACTAACATGTCGTAAAAGTCGACTAATTATCTGTGTTTCTTTCGAAGTCGAAATGTACATGCACGAGAGGCAATGAACCAACAATATGCATACTAATAAGCTAGAACTATTCAAAAGGATGAGCCCAGCTCTCTAGCGTAGTTGGCTAAACCTGATTGCGCGGTGACCGCGAGACGAACTCCTTGTGGTCCGGGTTCACTCCCGGGGGTAGGCAGAAAAGCCACATTTCTCTCAGATTTACGGTATTTACAATGGAATCAAGGCCGAAAGGTTGCGATATCCATAATACCGAGCCTAAGGATTAACAACTCATGGCTTCTGGATACTAAAACAAACAAAACAAATATACAGATGATGATGGCAAACTATTGGACGTAAATTTGCACAGAAAAACCTCAACAGCCAAAACATGCTAGGATTGGTTCTGCAGCGTCCTGTAAAGGATACGTAACTAACTTATACAAACGTTGTGCACGCAAAACTCAAGTCTGGAAACAAGACCAATGTTCAGAGGTGAAAGAACAACCATAACTTTCCACAGGAGTTTACAGTCGGTTAACGCAAAGAATACGACTTGCTCCAAGAAGCTTAGTCTTCCATCTGTATGTTTCTTTTCTCCTCTTTACACGTTCACTTTCTCATTTCTAACGTTTCTGTCGCTGTGTTGTACAGTTGAGAGCCTTTTCCGCGTCACAAGAAAACGCCAAATTTATAAAAATTGACTAAGCTGGCAAATAAATCATACCCTTATATTGTGATTTTAGATCCTATTAGTTTTAGATTCTTGTAATGACTTGTAATGTGCCGATGGAAATTTCTAATATTACTTGTTTTTTGATTTTTTAATTATAGCATATTGTTCCATTTCTTTCCAAACAGTCCAGGTTTTAATGCCACTGCAAAGCAAGTAATCAGCCCTTTATCCCGGTGACCTAAAAGAAAAGTTTGCTAGAGGCGTCCGTTTTTAGCTCAAAATATGAGTGGGATGTCGCCTTTTCAGCCCAAAATATTGTTGTGGATATGTCCCGTTTTCAGCCCTAAATATTAGTGGGATATCCCATTTTTAGCCCAAAATTTGTAGTGGTATGTCCCGTTCTCAGCCCAAAATATTAGTGGGATGTCGCATTATTAGCCCCAAATATTTAGTGGTATGTCCCGTTTCAGCCCAAAATGTTAGTTGAGATATCCCGTTTTTTTTGGGGGGCTAAATTATTAGTAGGATGTCCCGGTTTGAACTCAAAATATTAGCGCGATGCTGTCTGCTGCCTAATCGTCTGCAGCTGTTTCGAACTTGAAATAATGAAACTGCTTTCATAAACGCTAAGTCACGGGTGCAGACTGTTAACTGGTAGTCTGGTAATCTTAGTTTCAGCTTTATAGCAAACGGGTCACCCCATCTTTGCTCCGCTCCTGTGCCGAAGAAAAACACACAGAATGTTTATCACAGTCCCTTGTGGATAGATTGACAGACTGTTGTCTCAGTATATCTAGCATACACTCGCATTAAAGCATACAGTAGCCATTCGAAGTGCTAACACAAACAGTCCGTCATTATAAATGCTATTCATCATTCATGGTAGCAGAA